AATTTTCCTTTTTTTTTTTGGGGGGGGGGGGGATGCATTGAGACATGGGAGCCAGGATAGATGCCGCACTACAACAGGTATTGAGAGAGGCAACAATAAAATGAACCCCTGACTGATTTAAACACTTGACAGACAGCATTGGGTGCCTGCAATGTATGTGTATAAATGTACCATGTTTTGTGACAAACATCCTCATATCACTGAGTTGCAACCAATTGGTCTATAAATTTATGTGAGATGAGATTTCACAATGAACTTTTAACTGATTTACGTTATTCAGATGACTTTGTAAGATGCAGTGCGATGTACATCACTAGACTCATGTTTTTGGACAGCTACAAGCACGGATATCAAGCTGATTTTCAGAAAAAACTTCTTCAGGAGTACCCTGAAGAAATTTCCATGTGCAGTTCCAGAGTGTGTTCAACATAAAACCACCACAATCCCCACAATTTTGAAAACAGAAATGTGCAAACCTATCAAGCAGGCGCCATCTATCTCCAATTTTAGCATCAACATCATCAATTTCCTTTTCCAGCTTTTGAAGCATGGCATCTACCTGAAATGTGCACACATCACAGCAACATCCTCAGTTACATTCCAGTTCAGAGCTTCAAATAGTATGCATTGGTATTCTATAAGAAAAAGACTTGAATGTAAATTTAAAAAATGGATAATGAAGCTAACAAAGAAAAACATTCTTCAAAAAACTTACTCTATCGATCAGGGCTGAAGAAACTTTGCCAGAGATATCTGTTCCAGCAGCATGATCGCTCTCCTCTCTGGCAGCTTTGTATGCCTTCTTAGTTTCTTCCTCACCTTCTGTACCTTCTTTGTCCACCATATTGTTATACAAGTCTATCTGGAATGGCATTACAAATGAGTGAGGTAGAGGAAATGCAGCTTAGCAAAGCTCAAATCTACAGACTCCAACTGCGAAGCTATTTAAGTGAGAATGGCCTAGATGGAGATGCCCAGATAATTGAGTTATCAAAGTTTCCTAAAAGGTCAGGATATTCTCTTGCTTAACATATATGAATTCCTGTATAAGCTAAGGAGAGCTCTATTAAAACTCAATCAACACCAAATATAGTATTTACCTCCAACAAGAATGATTACAAAGAAATTTACCCTCAGCAGACAGCTTTCAGCAAGACCATCAATCAACTGACGAGCAAAAAATAGTAAGAAAAAGAACAATTCTTTGATAGCATTACCGGTTTAATCTCCTAGGAACAAGCATCATATTCCAAAGAGGAACTGGTGCAGTATATTTCCTTTCTAACTCAAATGGATAGGGGTTCACTGCCAGGGCATCTAGGAGGTTTGAACCATACCCGAACAAATTCCCACAGGATTCAGAACATATAAATTAAATGTGCAGATGAAGTCAGAAACATAAAGATGAATGTCATACAGAACAAATTATCACAGTTCATAACATATAAACTAAATGAGCAGATAGTGCCAGAAACAAAAAAGATTCATGTCACATGGAACAACAGACATTACAAAGCATTCATGCAGCCTAACAGTGAAAAAATGGCAAGAAAGCTCAAGGGTGATCTTGATCCAGGCTGTAAACAGTGGATCTTGGATGACTTAAATTCATGAGATTCAACATGAAAAAAAACAAGAACATGGAAATTCCACCATTTCTTAGAAAGTCATGTAACAGCAAGATTGTTAAAAGAATAGAAAAGAGTGATGTCATCCCCTTTTATGCCCTCAAAATTAGATGTATAGGATCACAAATCAGAAACAATTTAGTTGTTCCTACCTCCTTTTTGACAAGTCGCAGGAACTCTTCTCGCTCCCTGCTTACAGACTGGATAAGGTAGCAGTGAATAAAGTGGGGTAAGTGATGACAAAACATAAAATTATAACAGAAAAATGTGTAACAGATAACAAATGTTCCGGGTCCTTACAGATGCAGAAGCTAAAACAGCCAATGCACGACTAAGCTCACAAAGCTGCTCATGTTTCTCTAATGTTTTTGCTTTCGCCTGTTCTTGGGCTTCTCTAGCTGTTGGAATAGTCATCTCTTCCAAAGCCATGTCCTTTTGACTACAAACAGATTCCTTCATCTTGGCCTGCTCTTCCTCCTCCCCCTCCTCCTCCTCCTGCATAATAGCTTATTTAGAACAACTAGCCAAGAAGCAAAGCATTTAAACAAAGCACAATAAATCTAGCAGCATATGGCTACTATATATGCTCCACGACCAGCAAGGATGCTCAAGACAATTAAATTAGGATTATGTGTTCAGAAGAATACAGTGAAGCCAAGGCCCATCTCTAATGCAACTGTAATAGCCTTGAGCCTTACACTGAAGGGTCCATAACAGGGCAAGGCCTTACTATTTAGAATTTTGCAATGAGATGTATTATTCAAATGCTGAATTTATGAATATAAGCTAAAAAGAGTAAGAATTGCATAGAGGACACTATACAAGCTATAGGTAGATGAAAAAAAGAAATTGGAGAAATCATGACTAAAAGAAAGCTTCAAGGAATACGTCCAGATAAAGCTAACAGGAAAATGAAATCTATTAGCACAGCACTCCCATGTGCACAAAAATGCAGCATACATATTATGAATGTATGTATAGGATTTTATTGGACTGCAAATATGTATGTATAGTATTTTATTGGACAGCAACGAAACCATCAATATGCAAATGCAACAACTACTTTGTTGGGTTTGAGAGACAGGGAAAATGCTAGAGCAAGTGGCGAACAAATAACCAACCTTGATCAGTTCTTCTTGCATTTCTAGGAACTCCAACTTTCTTCTCCTTTCTGAAACTAAATCTTCAGATGGCAAGGCTGTAACTCCAACAGTATCCACAACCTCATCCGGAAGAGATGACAGTGTAGCCTGGACAGCTTCCTCAGGCCTAACTTTTCCAGAAACAGAGAAAGCTCTGTATAGAGTAATAAAGAAAAAAGATTAGATCGCAACCACTTTTCTTGAGAAAGGTACAAAAAATGAAGCGTTAAGTTACCTAGATAATATCAACAAAGAGGATGGAACAGAGTGATTGAGAGATAAATCCAGCCAGTCACGCAACTGCACAGAAAGATAATTATTTACATTCCTGAACAGCATGAGAATAGGATAAAAATTAACTGAGACCAATGGTATTTTTGTGCATGGCATTTTTGAAAACTCAGTAGTGAGATTCACTTCAGTGTGGGGGGGGGGGG